TCTCTCTCTCTCTCTCCTCTCTCTCTCTCCTCTCTCTCTATCCATCCATCCTTCCTTTCATCTTGTCTCTGACTCTCTGTGTTCTGATTACAAGTCAGCTTTTCCTCTTTTTCACACTCTCCCGAACGCTTCCCATTATTTTGTGTCTCTTGTTTGTCAGAACAGTGCTAATGGATTTTCATGATCATCCTTTGAAAGATTGACAATGGTGTGAGTGAACCTGAAAATAGAGCTAAATTTACATTATAATGCAAGTGTCGGAACTCACATGCTAAGTTAAAAAGGATGTCCTTGATTATCACCACGAATAAAACAGCCACATCCATCCCAATATTAATACTTTACTGTTCTTTTGTAGATAATAGGGTAAAATGTTTTTTACTTCAATTTTGGAGAAATAATAATTATGCTTAGATAAAACTAATTGAAAGTACAGCCTTTGTATAATGTATTGATTTTTTCCCCCATATTGATTTTTTCTCTCTGAAAAAATTAATGTTAGGGAAGCAAGAAGAAGAATTGTTTTCCATAAAAAGCATATTTTGAATGGGCCATTTTTAACACTTTATTTGTAATGTTCTAAAAATGTGGAAAAATTACTATCTTACAGACTGTCAGCTTGTTATCAAGTCCTGATTAGATCCCGCTGTCTTTTTAGATATGTGACCCTTTTTGTTTAAGTTAGTTCAGTCATGGAAATTTTAGTTTCTTTGTAATTGAGGTAGTTTAGTTCCATACTTTGTAATATGAGAAGTTGAATATTCTATAATAACCTGTTCTTCAAATTGTTTGTCTTAAGAGGCATCTTTTGATTGAAACTCATCTGCTTTGATTTGTTTTCCTCATTAAAGCTGAAACCAATAGTATCGGTGTCTGTGGTGTAGTATTTGGCTAACTCTTCGATTTCAGTGTGGGGACAATTTTTAGAGAGTCTTTCAGTCTTTCCACTGGAATGTTGTATCTGTCTCAGCGTTGGTTGCTTCTGACAGGCAGGGTCGAAGCAGCCTGACTTCTAAAGGATCTAAAGTGTGTCGACATAGGTGTTTAAAAACTGCCACAATTACATGAAATTTACATTATGTATTGTCCCTTAAAAAAAAACAACTTTAAAACTGACTCCTGTTGAGGTGTTGTCATTCCCCCCCCCCCCCCCACACACACACACACAACCACACCGTGCATGCACCTCCACACACACACACACACACACACACGTACACAAAAAGTAGACAGAGAAAAAAATGACCTTAATCATGTTGATGGAATTATTTTTAACTTAAATCTGAATTGAAACTTAAATCTGTGTTTGTTATTTATGTTGCTTTTCTATTCTGGTTATTTTTTTCAGGGGATTGAGGAATCTTGTGACTGTTCTTCGTTTAACAAATAAATATCAGAAAGGAAAGATAACGGTCTCTCAGATCTTCGATGAGACGGCGGAGAAGTATCCCAAAAAACCCTGTGTGTTGTTCCACGATGAAGTCTGGACATTTGAGGAGATTCAGAAGTATTCGAACAAAGTCGCCAACTTTATCTACAACGCTGGGTACAAGGAAGGAGATGTTGTCGCGATATTCTCAGAGAACTGCCCACAGTATTTCCCCCTGTGGGTGGGGATGGGAAAGGTCGGAGTGGTCTCTGCTTTGGTGAATTTCAATTTGAGAGATGTGTCTCTGGCGCACTGTATTAAGGTGAGTATTGCTCCAGTCTAGCATGCACATATCAAACTTGTGCATTACAGCAAAATATACATGATATATAGCGAACACGTACAAAGCAAAATGGGGGCTCTCGTGGCCTAGAGGTTAAGGTGTTTGCCTCTCTTTCAAAGGTTCGAATCCAGGTAGCGACAGAAAAATTTTCTTCTCTAAAATTGTCTCCTTTCACCTCATTTCCTGCTCTCTAGCAATGTTCTTTCAGCAACACTCCTGATCTTCTGGCAGGAAACATCTGCACCTAGCCTTCTTGGACAGGGTGAAAAATCTCGAAGGTCCCGTGAGCAAGTTGCGCTCGTTAAAGATCCCTTGGTGGTCTAAAATCGGTAAGAGTAGGCTTCGGTCGCCACCCGGACAAAA